AAGCAAGTTCTCTGCTTGCTACGTGCGTTCTCCCCCAGGTCCAAACACCCGCACGCCCGTCAGGGCAACGCTCGGCTGAGTCCCAGTCCCTGAATCTTCTCCACGGATGCCACGGCTTCCACGTGTGCAGGAACCACGCCCGGGCCACGTGGCTCCAGGTCCTGGAAGGCCAGCTTGCTAGGGACCCGAATGCGTGTGTGTGCGGGCGTGTTTTACGGGCATGCAATTCTGCATGTGTTTCTCCAGGTGTTGGAGACACAGTTGCATATGGGCATGCATTTGCACACATGTGCACACGTCACCCACACACACACACGGATACACACGGGTCTTACACGTGCAACAAAGCGCGTATCCCGACAGGCACTAAAACTCAGCAAAGGAAACGTTCGCAAAGGACACTGAGCATCTGCTCCTACAAGCGGATGCGAAGCCTGGCATTTTGGGAAAACATTAACGCCTCCCCAGCAGTGCCGTTGTCTTGACTGTTCTGTTGAGGGTGATGAAGTCAGATGAGCAGAGCTCTGTCCGGGCCGGGAGGGTCATGAACTCCTGGTCGGGGGAGCCTCGCTCGCCACGCACCCCGGCTTGCACGAGGCTGGTGGGGAGGGAAGTCAAGGCGGCCGTGAAGCAAGGCTGCGCATGTTGACTTTGGAGCCTCTAGGATGGGGGTGGTTGGTAACACAGCAGTAGCCACTGCCATGGCAGGGCAGGCCAAAGTTTTCAATTCCTGGGACGTCAGTTCATGGCAAAATTATCAATTCCTGGGACATCACTGCATGCCCAAATTATCAATTCCTGGGACATCACTGCATGCCCAAATTATCAATTCCTGGGACATCACTGCATGCCAAAGTTTTCAATTCCTGGGACATCACTGCATGCCAAAATTATCCATTCCTGGGACGTCAGTTCATCCCAAAATTATCAATTCCTGGGACATCACTGCATGCCAAAGTTATCAATTCCTGGGATATTAGTGCATGCCAAAGTTATCCATTCCTGGGACATCAGTTCATCCCAAAATGATCAATTC